TTTTTTTTCTTTTTTTTTTTTTTTTTTTTTGAGAAAAGATAAAAAATTTTCTCTATGGTAGATAAGGCACGTATCCGCCGTCACAATAAGTCTCCTGTTTTCACCCGCTCTGTCAAGTTTCAAGATATAAACTTAAAAAAATAGTAAAAAATAAAGAATATTGTTCGATACTTTCTACTTTCAATGTTCTAACAACTATGAGATGTATACCTCAGAAATTAATAAAAAAAATTTTTACAAGAGTTCTTTTCTTTTATTATTAGTTTTTCGTAGCTTTAACTCATTTTTAATTTTTAAAATTCTTAGTAGAGTTTTTACTCAATTCGCTAGGATTTTTTAATCCTCATATCTAAGCGTAATCCCTAATTAATCTGGTATCCTTGAAAATTGAAACCCTAATTAAGATGAACAAAAAAAAATTTGTCATCAAACAAATAAAGGAGCTACAAAAAGTTCAAATACCACCATTTTACAACAAAAAGCATCAGCCGATTTACAAGAATTTCTTATTGATATATTTAACTGTCTATAAACACCTTCATTAGAATTTTGCGGTCTCCCTATTTTTTAATTCTAATTTTTTGACCAAAAATTGAAAAATATTTTAAGTTTTTTTAACTATTATCTTAATAATGTTAGAGGAAATAATTAAATTTCTTTTCCAATTCCTAAGATTAAGACAACTCTTGTCAGTTAAAAAAATTTTTCAACCTTATCCTACATTTATTTGGGAATATAGATTCTGTACTGAATCTCTCAGTACAGTATTGAATGCTCATTTCCGACATTCAGAAAATCAATCAGTTGTTCAAAAAAAAATTTAAACAAATTTTTTTTTAAATATTTTGAATTAATTTTTAAATATTAGCTAATTGAAAACATTATTTGAAAATGAACACATGCTCTTTAAATAGCCGTTGTAAAAGATTTCTCAAGAGATATCTAAAACTAGATTATCTTGACAAGTTTTGAATTAAATTTAAAATCTTCATTCATTAAAAACATTACTTGAAAGTGCTTTCTTGCTCTTTTAGATAGTCGATATAAAAGATTTCGATATAAAGACGTCTGAAAACACATTCATTTTTACATATTTTGTACTAAATTTAAAATCTTAGTTAATTAAAAAAATATCATTCGAAAGCGAATCCTTGCTCCTTAGATAATCAACATCAAAGACTTCTTAAGAGACATCCGAAAAAATATTTATTTTTGCATCTTTTGAACTAACCTTAAAATCTTAATTATTAAAAAACATAATTTGAAAGTGAACGCTTGCTCTTTTAGATAGTCAATACAAAAGATTTCTCTAAAGACATCAGAAAACAGAATTTTTTTCCTACATATTTTGTACTAAATTTAATATCTTATAGTTTATTAAAAACATCATTCGAAAATGAACGCCTACTCTTCTGATAGCCGTTATAAAATACTTCTCTACAGAACTTTAATAAGATTTATTCTTACATTATTTTGGACTAAATTTAAAAACTTCGTTAATTAAAAATGTTAATCGAAAGTGAATGTTTGCTCTTTAGATAGTCAATATAAAAGATTTCTTTAGAGACATCTGAAAACAACTGATTTGTTAATTCCTTCAGTTTTTATCCGATATCAATTTACGATAATTAATATTCATAAATAATTTATTTATGACCTTATCTGAACAACACGTGTCACAAATAAATTGACAAAATTAATTACTCATTGCAAATAATATTAATCTTTTTTTCTTTTTAACTTTTTTGTTTAAATCCTTCAAAAATCAGAACATACATGGATATTCTATTCACTGCTATTTTCACTGTTGAAAAAAAAAAGCTCAATTTAATTCTACGAAAACGTGGAAGAATAGTGCACACAATTATTTTCACTCAACTTTCTCTATTATTTACTTCGTTTAAAACTGTGACCCCTGCCAACAAAAATCACGTGATTAAGAGGGCATTTACCCCTTAACTTCCCGTAAACTAAGTGAATAATCGCTCTCTTCCACATTGGAAGAGCGACAGTGTAAAATTTTTTCAGTTATTATTGTTTGTTCTTTTTTTTTCTCTTCCTTTTAGTTGGTAAGCTGAGATCACACGATCCAACCTTAACAATTTAATGAGATCGTTCGAATTTATCCAACCTCCGTCCACCCCTTTATGCCACGAGGGCCTCTCTAAGATTCTTTCATGTCGCAATCAAGGATGAATCATGTGTATTATTTTGCTTTTATTTTTATTATATATGCGTTACAATGTCCAGACATATTAGCATGAAAAGATGAATCGTCTGCTTTCAAGGGTGAAGGAAATATGAGAAAGGATGAATGAAATAATTTAGGTTAAGAGCTGCATATTTTGT